GTCCAGTTCACCCCTCATTCTCTTAATAGCTTCTACTAAATTCTAGAGCCTTGTCTGACAAATGGCTCATCCCTTTCATTCATTCCCAATTTGGACCATTTTCTAGACAGGGGTTTGTTTTTACCTCCTGCCTGTTGAGCCAGTTCAGCATCCTTATTAAAGATTTTACCTCGCTCAACGGGTCAGAATAATTCCCTCAGTAACACCAGGGTATCTCCCCAGGTGGGATTGGGCTGAGTGCGTATGTTAGAAAATAACTGAGTACATTTCCCAGCATCCTTCTTCAGCCTCAGCATTTTACTTCCCTGTAGAGCCAAATCACCAGATCCATCAGACTCAGAGTCTCTCTCCTTCAGACTTTATGTGAATAACTTTCTCCCAAATCAACATGCAGAGAAAATTAAGCCAGAAGATGAGCATGAAGAAACTAGCTATGTTTGTTTTTTTTTTTTTTTTCACTATGCTTCAGTTTATCCAGCTTATCTACAGAAAATTTCTGAGGAGATATAGCCAGCCTGCGGATAAGTGCATACTAGGGCATGCAAAATGGTCATAAGAACAGACCTAGAAATATTGTAGAAATAGTCCTGTACAGTAGTATTTCCTGGAGAAAGTGGGCCCTCTAACTCTGTAACCCTTGTACCTATTTTTTAGTTTTCCTCCCTCACTAGTCCTGTATAGATTAAAAATCAGGTAAGGAAGTGACAGTAAAATCGTGCATTGGGAAATACAGAAGACTTGGTCTGTGATCAAAATGCAGAAAGAGCACTGCACTTTTCAGCACAGTTGACTGATCTCCCACTCTACTCCATTATAATGTCTCTAGGATCTCCTTTGGGTTCACTGGCATCAACTGATTTTGTGCAATGATTTCGCCAGTTGATTTCCAGTGTTCCTCCACTGATGTCAGTCAGTGTTTTTCACCTCCACAAATGTAGAATACCTATTAGGATCGCAGGGGCAGAGAGCCTGCACTCTTCAGGATGTGCTATGAGGTCTGATGTCAGGAGCTAGGTTACCTCATGAAATATAATTTGACAGATAAAAATCTAAACAATGTGACAGGATCTTACAGGACTCTGGCAAGATTTACTGTGTATACCTGTATATCCTACATATCATTACTCATCATCATAGAGGACTTATTCTCCGTGAAATCTTGTGAAGTCTTTCTTCCCCTGAAGACTGCCTGTCATTGGGGTGTCTATACATTCATAGTTTGATCTGTGGAGAAGGGAAGGAATCAAATACCCAGCAAGGTAAAAAGAACATGCCTATTAGGTGTGAATTTTCCAACCTACTCACTTTATAAGACACTGATAGTACAGAAAATAATTCTTTTTATTCTTTTGACTAGAAAAATTCTGAGCTTCCGTAAATATGAAGCTACCTAAGAAGGAACTAGTTCTGATCTGCAAATTAAACCCACCCCACCGCTAGCTAACTTAGCAAATACAGACTTTCTCAGCATCCTGCTATGCATGGTCACAGAAAGTGTGTTCAGCTTCTCAGGGACCAGTGGTCTTCCTTGGGTATTTGTACACTTCTGATTTGGCAGCAAGACACATCTAGCCACATCAGTTGTGCTAGACCGTAAATCAACATGATTTAATCTAGAGAAGAGTTCTCTTGGGACACAAGCTAAAATCCAGTGGCTAGCTCTGGTCTGGCCACTAGGCAGTGGAATCACACTTGTTCCTCGAGGTCTGTCTACATGAAGAGGACTCCATCTATGCATGATCAGTATTTTGGTATCTGCTGTGTATAAACAAACTCCCAAGGGGATCCTATAGGACTGCCACCTTGTCTAAGACTGTGACATTGTAAATCTCACTTACTGTTTGGAGCTGAAAAGGAAGTTGCAGAGAAACCTGGCCTTGTGCTTGTAGGCCTGCCTTTGCTATTGCTCCTGCCGCCATCACTAAGGTAAGTAACAATAGATTTTCCTCTGGAAGCATAATTCTCATGGGTCAGATTTCCTTTCATGACCTCCCTTAGTAGCTATCACAAGACTTCTTCAATTTGACTTCGCTGATGAAATTTAGATATCCATATTTTTAGGACACCTTCAGCACTGGATCAGGGGGGAGATCAGCATCCAGGAGCCTCAACTCAGACCTGTGAGAGCCACTGAGGGAGCCTCAAGTCCTCGACAGGACTTGCCCAGGAGCTGGCAGCTCAGCTCTTTAGAAAAGACAGGCCCTGCAGGCAGGGAGGGGGAGTTACCATTTATATTAGGGATAGGCTGGAGAGTATGAAACTCTGTCTGAGGGCAGGTGAGCAGTCAACAAAGAGTTTGTGGGTCAGGGTTAAAGGGAAGACAGTGATGGGAGACATTACTGTGGGGATCTGTTACAGACCGCCTGATCAAGAGGACTCTGTGGGTGAAGCGCTCTATAGACAGATAGGAAAAATCTCATGCTCACAGGCCCTTGTTCTCATGGGTGACTTCAACCACCCTGACATCTGATGGAATGACGGTACGGCCCGGCACAAGCAATCCAGGAGGTTCCTTGATTGTGTGGAAGACAACTTCCTTCTGCAAGTAATAGAGGAGACGACAAGGAAAGGTGCCATGCTTGATCTCATGCTCACCAACAGGGAAGGGCTTGTTGGAAATGTGGCTCTGCAGGGCAGCCTTGGATGCAGCGATCATGAGATGGTTGAATTTGAGATCCTCAGGACAGTGAGAAGAGCATGCAGCAAGCTCACTGCCCTAGACTTCAAGAGAGCAGACTGTGGCCTCTTAAGGAACCTGCTTAGTAAGGTTCCATAGGATATAGCCCTGGAGGACAGGGGGCCCCAAGAATGCTGGTTGATATTCAAGGATCACCTCCTACAAAATCAGGAGTATTGCATCCCAGGTAGAAGGAAGTGCAGCAGGAGGGCCAGGAGACCTCCTTGGATGGATAAGGAGCTGATGAGGAAAATTCAAATGAAAAAAGAGGCTTATAAAAAGTGAAAGCAAGGACAGACGGCCTGGGAAGAATACAAGGATGTTGTCCAGGAAGCTAGGGACCATGTTAGGAAAGCTAAGGCCCAGTTAGAATTAAACTTGGCTATGGATGTGAAAGGTAACAGGGAGGGATTCTATAGGTATGTAGAGAATAAAAAACAGACTAGGAACAACGCAGGCCCTCTCAGGAAGCTCTCAGGTGAACTAGCTACACAGGATTTGGAGAAGGCTGAGGTTCTGAATGACTTCTTTGCCTCAGTCTTCTCCAGCAAAGGCTCTGACCACACTACCCAAGTCTTGGAAGGCAGATGCAGGGACTGTGAGAATGAAGACCTTGGGCCCACTGTAGGAGAGGTATTGGTTCGAGACGATCTTAAAAACATGAATGTGCACAAGTACATGGGTCCTGATGAAATCCATCCGTGGGTCCTGAAGGAGCTGGCGAATAAAATTGCTGAGTCACTGTCCATCATATTTGAAAGATCATGGCAGTCATGTGAAGTTCCTGACTAGAAAAAGGGAAGTATAAACCCTATTTTCAAGAAGGGGAAAATGGATGACCCAGGGAACTACAGACCAGTCAGTCTCACCTCTGTGCCTGGCAAAATCTTGGAGCACATTCTCCTGGAAGACATGCTAAGGCACATGAAAAACAACAAGGTGCTTGGTGACAGCCAGCATGGCTTCACTAAGGGGAAATCCTGCCTGACCAATTTGGTGGCCTTCTATGATGGGGCTACAGAACTGATGGACAGCGGTAGAGAGTTGATTTCACCTACCTGCACTTGTGCAAAGTGTTCAACACTGTCCGACATGGCATCCTTGTCTCTAAATTGGAGAGACATCAATTTGATAAGTGGACCACCTGGTGGATAAGGAACTGGCTGGATGGCAGCACGCAAAGAGTTGTGGTCAATGGCTCGATGTTTGGCTGGAGTCCAGTAACGAGTGGTGTGCCTCAGGGATCAGTGTTGGGACCGGTCTTGTTCAACATTTTTGTCGCTGACATGGACAGTGGGATTGACTGTGCCCTCAGCAAGTTTGCCGATGACACCAAGTTGTGTAGTTCTGTTGATACGCTGGAGGGAAGGGATGCCATCCAGAGGGACCTTGACACGCTTGTGAGGTGGGCTGATGCCAACCTCATGAAGTTTAACCATGCCAAGTGCAAGGTCTTACACCTGGGTCGGAGCAATCCCAGGCTCAGCTACAGGTTGGGCAGAGAAGAGATCCAGAACAGCCCTGTGGAGAAGGACTTGGGGGTGCTGTTTGATGAGAAAATGAACATAAGCCAGCAGTGTGTGCTTGCAGCCCAGAAAGCCAACCGTATCGTGGGCTGCACCAAAAGGAGCGCGTCCAGCAGATTGTAGAAGGTGATCCTGCCCCTCTACTCTGCTGACATGGTCTAGTGTGAGGTGTCCCTGCCCATGGCAGGGGGGTTGGAAGTAAATGATCTTAAGGTCCTTTCCAACCCTAACTATTCTATGATTCTATGATCCTGCTCCTCTGCTCTTGTGAGACCTCACTTGGAGTACTGCGTGCAGTTCTGGTGTCCTCAACATAAAAAGGACATGGAACTGTTGGAGCAAGTCCAGAGAAGGGCCATGAGGATGATCAGGGGACTGGAGCACTTCCTGTATGAAGACAGGCTGAGAAAGTTGGGGCTGTTCAGCCTGGAGAAGAGAAGGATGCATGGAGAACTCATAGCAGCCTTCCAGCATCTGAAGGGGGCCTATCGGGATGCTGAGGTTGGACTGTAGGCATAGGACAACAGGTAATGGGTTCAAACTTAAACAGGGGAAGTTTAGATTGGATATAAGGAAGCAGTTCTTTACTGTTAGGGTGGTGAGGCACTGGAATGGGTTGCCCAGGGAAGTTGTGAATGCTCCATCCCTAGCAGTGTTCAAGGACAGGCTGGATGAAGCCTTGGGTGAGATGGTTTAGTGTGAGATGTCCCTGCCCATGACAGGGGTGTTGGAACTAGATGATCTTAAAGTCCTTTCCAACCCTAACTATTCTACAATTCCATGATTTTGTGATATTTGTGTTATCATACAATGTTAATACTAGAGTTCTTGATTCACATTAAGAGTAAGAATTCACTCTACATTCATTTTTGGAAACTTGTGTTAAAATTCTGCTGCTGCAGAAAGCTGATGCCTTTCTTGTTTTACTTACCTTCATACTCTGTGTATTGAGAATGGCTTCATGGCCCAGCAGTGAAAGGAATACATGTTCAATAAATTTTCAGTAAATGAGTGGGTCAATTTGAAATCCGTGTGGTAACAAGCAACAGACTTCTAAAGCATCTCACAGTACAATTTCTAGTTTCTGTTTAATTTTCTAGTGTCAATGCAGTGTCATATAACATGGAGCAGAAGGCAAACCTCAGATAACACGAATGTGCAGACATTCATTTGTATTTGGTTTATAAAGTCGTGTCACAGAGGTAGCTCCAGGGTAAAACTGGAATGCAGAAAAAATGGGTCAGTTGAGACCCCCAACATTTCAAAATGAAGGAGAAAACAAAATCAACACACTATCAAGCTAGTATAATGTAAGTTATATTTTTGGAGAAGAGAAGGCTCCATAGAAACCTCTTATCAGCCTTTCAGTATTTAAAGGAGGCCTACAAGGATGCTGGAAAGGGACTCTTCATCAGGGACTGTAGCAACAGGACAAGTAGTAATGGGCTCAAACTTAAACAGGGGAAGTTCAAGCTAGATATAAGGAAGAAATTCTTTTCTGAGAGGGTGGTGAGGCACTGGAACAGGTTTTCTTCTTGAAAATGGTGGTTATATTTCCCCTTTTCCAGTCATCAGGAACTTCATCTGACTGCCATGATTAACTTGTAGAGGAAGCCCCAGCAGGGAATTCACCACCATTCCCAGCCAACTTGGAAACCTGGATGAGAAATGGCACAATTAGAATAAGAAAACAAAATTTTCTGTGTGGTTGCTTAAGCTTGCTTCAAACATGTATGTCTCAGTTGTGTGTGGGCCAAGCATGAATGGAACATCAACCAGGCCTCCTCAACTCAAGCTCCACCTGCCCTGCCCCTGCATGGTAGTTAGTTCCAGAAACCTGGGGAAATTATCTCTCTCTGCTAAACTGTAACTGGCACAGTGAGGGGGAGCTTGCAGAGAGGCATTCATCTTTATTTGCTTGAATAATTATCTGCTTTGCTTGATGTGCATCAGCTGGCTTTGTGAGTTTGACAAATGTTATTATTTGAAGATTAAATTTTACAAAATAGGATTAGATGAGAAATGGTGTGTAACTGATTAGTGGCAAGCAATGTGAAATTAAAAGGCAGTCAAGTGTATGGAACAATGTTGGTATTTCACCCAGATTCAGTCACATTACTGATTAGACATTTAGGTTATTGAATCCTGAAATGCTTTGACCCTCAACAGAGGACATTCTTCTCTTCCTACCTGCATCTCCTGAAGAGTCAATAAACACAGTGCTTTTTTTCATTTAATCTGTAATTGATTTTAGCAAAAAGAAAAAAAAAAAACAAAACAAACCAACATACAGGAAGGCCTTGTGTAAGAATTAAATCATGTTTCCAAATCACATCATTTGTATTCAGGGAAACTCATCATTTGAGTTGTTCCAGTGTAGATGAATTAATTTGGATTCAACAAAGCACTTACACATGTGCACTAATGAAAGTACCTGCTTAAGTCCAGTTATTTCAGTGTAGCTTAAGGAGATGCTTTAAGTCAAATGCCTTCTCTTGTGGCTTAGCTTAAATTGGAACCTGTGCTTTGGCCATTCTTGTCTAATATTCAACTCATTCAGATTTAAGAACTTTTTTATGACTACTGAAGTGTCGGTTCTGCTGGTCAGTAATAAGCCATCCATTTTGTGACTGTTTAGTAGTGTCATAGCTGATGTGTTCCATGGACACTAACATTGTATAGCATAGGTAATTTTTTTCCTTTTCCTAAGGGATTCACTTACACTTACTGGGCATGGGGTGGATGTGGAAATGGAAAGAATAAAAAGGCTAGCTTTTTTTTTTTTTTTTTGCTTATTTTTGCTATAAAATTTATTACATGATCAGAGTAAATCCCTGGAGGTCTGATTTACTAGTTGCTATAACCCAAGAAGACAGTGGGATTATGTTATAGGCCTAATAGATGTGGTGTATGAAATATGCTAATAAGAGAAAATTGAGATCAGATGCAATATTTTAGCTCCACTTGCATTGATTTGTGCATATGTGGATTCTTTCAAAGGTGAAGCAGAAAAAGGAATGGTAGTGGATGTCCTTGGGTACTCTTGGAGAGAAGCTTGATGAAAGAACAGCCTGTTGTGTAAAGCTGTGCTTGTGTAGATGGGTTTCCTCATTGTATAGTTGACCTTTCTTTGGCTGCAAAACCCGAACGAATAAAATCTCCTACATTGCTGCCTGCATGCAGCCTTGTTCCCACAATGGCTGTGGAGCTGTCAGTTGACTGACACTGATTAGACCAGTGCAAGAAATGCCATGCTAGTAAAAACATGGAATGAGTTTGTTGGACATATTTATTTATTTATATGACATTACAAGTTACTTTTTTACAGTGCCACTAAGGGAAAAAGTACTCGTTCTAAGAAGAAATTTATGTCTGTATTTTCTGGATTACAGAGACTTGCTATTTCCAGGTATTGCTATTTCCCTCATCCTGATTCAGCGAATACTTTCTACCTAGAAAATTACTTCATCATATGTTTAGATAACTTAACAAAGTGAGGCAATAGGGATCAAGTTCAGACTAAAATAGGAAGGTAGGAACTGTTGGTTTGTGTCTAAGTATTATGGTCTCTTTAGAGCCATCTGAGTGTAAACGACATAATACTGTAACAGCTTAATTTACTAGCACCATGTGACATACCTAAGAATAATTACTCTACAGGTGCCTGAAGTATCTAAAGAGATATGCACACATTCACTTCATGCCTAATGAAAAATTAAAAATAATAAACAATTAGATTTGCTGTTGTGAATGGGAAATCATGCCTATTGGTGTGAATAGCTCCCTTCCAAGCTGAGTTCAGAAGCCAGGGCTACTCTTTCTACACAGGAAAAGAGCTACAAGACACAGTAGTATACTACTCATATGCATACACAGCTAAGTATTCTGTTTCCCTCTGCTCCTTTTCTTTGCCAAGAAGCAGAGTAATAAAAGAAGGTGAGATACACAACTAGCTAGGAAAATTGAGAAGTTTGTTTGAGCCTTTAAATTTTGTTTCCACTGTAAACAGCAACAAAGAGGAAAAATGTGACCTCTTTTCCCCTCTCCGTGATATGGAAAATCTGAAAAAAAGAGAGGTGCTCTGACAGGACTATGTGTTTAGTGTTGATACAGACATGCATTGCTAGAAGAGAAAACTCAAGGCAAAATGAATTAGTCATCACCAAGGTACAGTGTTTTTGCCATATCAAAACAGAATGTCTCCACAGCATTAAATACAGGAAAGTAGAAGTACTTTCTTTGTCTTGTTTATCTTTAAACTACTATGTAAACTGAGACTTTTTCAGAGAATGCACTGATTCGGACAAGTATTATCTACCAGTGGAAAGAATCCAGTCACAAATACTTGAAAAAGTAGTCCCACAACAAAAGCTTGATATGTTTTTAATAAAGACATCATGGTTTGATCACCTGAGTGATAAAGATGAATTCCCAGCTTTGTGGACAACTTATGTCTCCCAAAGAAGCCTTTTAATGTGGCCCAGTAAATCCTGAAGACAGAAAGCTACAGGATCTTCACCCCACCATGCCCATCTGCAGGAATTAGAGCCCTGCTGAGATGGGACTCTGCCAAGGCAAGAGCTTGTTTGGAGAACAGGAAACAGAGACAGGGATAGAGCTACAAGACAAGGAGAGTAGAAAAGGGAGAGTACAAACAAGAAAACCCCACCTTAGGAGCTAGAAGCTGTAAATGGTAGCCTACCAAGCAGCTTGTTCGTAAGGAAGGCTTGGACACCCATGCTCGCAAATAAAGAAGATATAATATGCATGCCTGTTTCTGCATGTCACGGAGACAGGGTGATCAACAAATATTTGCTTCAGGTTTTAAAAGAGGAAACAGATAAAATTTGTTCATTTGCGTGATACCTGCAGCAAATGCTCACCCAGAAAGGCCATCTTCAAGAAATCTGAAGTGGCTTTTTCTTCATATCTAGCAGAAACGGTTTAAAAATCCTTTCACAGTTTTGACAAATGGGAAACATGCACTTCTTTAAGGGAATATGTATGTATTTTTTCTATTTTGTTGGAAAATAAAGAGCTTACTTCAGGACTGGTATAAGCTGAGTAGAATAGCAAGAAACAAAGCAATACTTCTGAAGAGACAAAATGTCTAAGATTCTGAAATGTTTTGAAAGATGGAATTGACAGCTGAACAGCAAACAAAAACATGAAGTTTGTGCTGAGTGAACTAAACCACTGGGGGGACTGAAACTGCTGTCCACAAGCTACCTTTAGCAAGTGTCTGATTCCTGTGTCTCAGTAGCTGTTTTGATTAGAAGCTAATTATCTTATTCAAGGCCAGGCTGGACAGAGCCTTGGGTGACATGGCCTAGTGCGAGGCACCTCTGCCCATCACAGGAGGATTGGAACTGGACGACCTTAAGGTCCTTTCCAAGCCTAACCATTCTATTATTCTATGATCCTATCTTGCTGCTGACCAGGTCCTGCCTCGAGCACACTGAACAGTGCTGCAGATACATCAGCGTGAGTTGATACTAAGATGGGAAAAAAAACGAACAAAACCTCCCAAAAAACAGACAAAAAGAAACAAAGTAGGTTCATTCTGGGCAGCTGCTGAAGTATTTTCTATAACCTTCATACTTTCTTATTAGTAACTTTTTTATATGGCAACTTGGCACTGATTTCAGTTTAGCAGTCAAACACCATATGGAATTGAATAATCAAATGTTGCCTTTAAAGATGCTGAAACAAAACATCTTGACTCATATAGTATTTTTTTTTCTTCATTTCCTGGAAACAGATTCTTTTCCTTCTTTTTTGAGAATTGAATATTCATTTTTTCAATGAAAAATATGACCAAAGCCGATTATTGGCTTACACCACTTTTTTACACAGACATCAGTAAATGCACAGACACCCAGCTGATGGCCAAGGAGTCTGAGTTCCATAGACAAAGCTCCATGGAGATCTTTCTCTGCTCTGAGTTTTCTATAATCTTCACTTGCACCAAGCAAGGTTACAGAGTGGATTCCTGTTGTCCTGGTACTGTAAAGGAAGAAGACTCTTACCACAGTCAGGAGGAGGTATATCTCAGTCATACAGTGCAAACCAGGTGGAGATCTGGCTTTAGTATTTTGAGAAGATTTGGAGGTGCCAGTGATGGTATCAGCGTGTGCCCATGGTGCTGAGACAGATCCCATTTGGGAAACCAGCCTCCATTCCTTGCTCTGATGAGAAAACACTATTTATGAGTATGACTGCCAGATTAATATTAATAAAGTATTCTGGACATAATATTTTGTTATATGCCATCAGAGTGAAGATCCATGGGGCATTGCTCATATCCTGGCTATGGCTGGGCAAGCTGCTATTTCTCTTGTAACAGAAGTCATGTTATGTATTTTGGTTAAGTCACGTAACAGATCCCCATGAGTCCATCTGTCTTGCTGGTTTTCTTAAAAAATTTAGGACAGGTTGTGTCAGAACTCCCCTGTTCCATTTCCAAGGTAAAAGCCTTCTGCAGAAGTCTTTATGAGACCATTATTAGACACATCTCTAGACTACATCAGCTCTGTTTGGAAGCTGGCACTTGAGACAGGCAAGAGATGCTTAATTTGGGACTAGGAGTATCTCAGTGGGGTTTGTGGCTTGGTGATTCTGTGCCTTGTTCTCCTTGAAGAAGAGGTAGCTGTGAAGTAGTTGGTGTTGCGGTCATGTTTCACAGATTCATATCTTGGTTTTCCATGGCAGCTGCATAATCTGGAAAAAATGGAAGCAGTTCTGGGACAAGAGCATGAGCACATGACCTTTGAAGTGTCACCTGGTTCTGGGGAAAGTCCAGCAGCTCTAAACAGGTCAATGAGAAGCTCAAAGACCTCTCAGGGCCTTCTCCTTGATATGTTTATTGTCTTGCATGTCTTTGAAGGCCCCTGGATGGGGGGATGACACCACTTTATTCTCTGCACACAAGGGAGGACATTTGCTATTGCAAAGCTTGTCAGGAGCCTATGGACAGGAAAGGTGCCGTTTCTCAGCAGCCCTACTTGTCTGTGCTGACCCTTGGTTGCTACAGGAGGTTTTTGGTGTAGCATGCTCTGGCAGGGAGAAACAAAATTTAGGCAATTAGGTGTTTTAGCTATTATGCCCCACTTCTCTGATCCTTTTGTTTGAGGGAATTTGAATTGTTCATTCTCAGACTCCAGCATATAAGAGGAAGGTGTGCATGAGGAGGTTAAGTAACATGTGGTGAGCACACTGTCTTCTTTTCCAAGAGTATTCACATGATGAAGGAAGAATGTGAGGTGATGTATGACAGACCCAAACTATAAGCCCCACCCAGAATTATATGGGAACATGGCGGGGGGGGGGGGGCGGGGGGGGAGGGGGAGGCAAGCAACACAGGCTTGAAAATACTGTGCTAATTGCACAGGAATGTGGGCACACAACTCAACTCCATCAGGCTCTCAGGTTTATTTCTTGGGCATAGCCATCTACAGTGACACACTGCTAACAGTGTGTATGAGAAAGAGAGCATCAAAAAGATATGCCCTTTGGACTGGAAATATATGGGGTGTCACAGGGCTTAAAAAAAGCAGGTTCCCTACACCCTCTTGGTGAATAGGCTGTAGAACAGAATATAGAGTAGATGAGATAGAGAGAACAGAGATAGAAAGAGAGATACAGAGATAGAAGTCAGAGACAGAAAGAGAGAGAGATACAGAGATAGAGATAGAGACAGAGACGGAGACAGAGATAGAGACAGAGATAGAGATGAAGATAGAGACAGAGATAGAGGTAGAGATAGAGACAGAGACAGGGCAGGACAGGACAGGACAGGACAGGATAGGATAGAACAGATCAGAACGAATAAAAATAATAGAAGAATGTAGAATAGAAGGATTATAAAATACAAAATTCAATAGTTCAGTTGGAAGGGACCTCCAGTGATCACCTAGTCCAACTGCCTGACCAGTTCAGGGCTGACTAAAAGTTAAAGCACTGTTGTTAAGGGCATTGTCCAAATGCCTCTTCAACACTGACAGGCTTGGGGCAGAGAGGCTGAACCAAGCTGAGGGCGGACATTATCCTGAGCACAGGAGCCCTCCCGCATCTGTCCCTGAGAGCTCTGCAGGCTGCAGAGCCCTGGTGCCTGACAGCTCTGCCCCGGGAGGAACCGTTCTGCCGTACCCCTGGACCAGCACCCCTCCGCCCCTTCATTCCCATTCCGGTGGCTTCGGGGACTGATGTTTTAGCTCTCCCTCTGCCGATAGCAGGGTGGCCAGCAGCAGAGCCCCAGGCCGGCTGTGGCATCGTAAGGGGAGTGAACCATGGATGATCTTAAAGGTCTTTTCCAACTTAGTTGATTTTATGACTATATATCGCAGAAATAAACTGCAGGGAGGGGGACCCGACCATCTCCACCCCCCACCCCTATCCCCCTGCCCCGCTT